ATGTTACAAGGTTGTCAACACAAGGTTGTAACAATCTTGTTATATCAAGCATGTAACGGACTTGTCAGAACAACCTTGCAACAGGTCTGATAATTTCGACAAGGTTGTTACAAGTTGTCAACAAGTTGTTCCAAACCTATTGACAACTTGTGCCAAGCAGTGCGGGTTGTTGGCAGACTTGTTACAAGATGTGAGATTTTTACGTGTGTAACACACGTAAAAACGCGCAAGTTGTTCCATATCTGCAAACAAGTTGTAACAATGTTGATATCAGGATGTGTTACCACTGCGTGTTCCCGGCAGTTGTTGTGAAAAGTCTGGAACAAGTTGTTATCACCTTGTTATACAAGATTGATGACGGTAACAGACTCGCTACAAGTTGTTCCAACGAGGCCAATACAGCCTGTTCGTAACAAGTTGCTAAGAGCTTGTTGTCATCAATTTGTTACGTGGGGACAATGTCAAACATATTGGGACAACTTGTTGCGACTCTGTTGGCCTCTTTGCATGACCTTACGTTTCGAGGTAAGGAGGAACCGGCGGATTGTAAAACAAATTTGCTGCTCGTGTTTAAAGAATTCTTTCAGTTTTATAGTTTTGTTTGTGGAAACACCACGTAAATTTATTACTGCAGTAATAAATTTACGTGGTGTTTCCACAAGCAAAACTATTATATTTTATCGCCATTCAAACATACAAAGAACTTATCTTTCAGTTTTGTTACACAGTGCATAACGGTAAAACCCTACTAGTCTGCGAATTGTCTAAAAACATGAAACTGTTATCATCTTCTTAACAGAGAACAGACGTATGATGTACTTTTTGAAGGAGACGATGAAGAAAAGTCGGTTGCAACTCTTTTATTGGATGCAATTATAAATGTACGTTCATATACAGTATAGTTTTTTTCTAGGTTTACATTAGCGAGCAATTGGTGGGTTTTATTGCTGTAATAGTCAAAATACATGAAGAACCTTCCCACTTTGGCTTCTGTGGTTTGTTGATATTTTCTGTAATCTGTTTTGTATTCAGCTGTAACGTGGTTACCCATATACCACGATAAAGCGATCGAAGCTTTCAGGTGTTAAAATACAGTGAATGTAACGAAAAATGCATTCTTCGCTACAAGTTATTGTATAAAAACAAATTAAGAGCACTAAATTTTGTCGCCGTATTTTGATATTTGCCGATAATTTGGTAATTGCTACAGAAAAACAGAACAATTTACAGAAAACTACAACAGACTACAGAAGTGGGTATGGGACAACAGATGCATGGCAGCAAACTTCAGAATTGATAGCACTTAACGGGGCAAGAAACTATATCCCTAATTGTTGGTACATGGTCACAATATACAAGACCGCTACTGCATGCCGCCTGTTGGGCGGTACCCTTAATCGTATACAGCTATTTCAATGGACCATTCCCCAATTAACCAAAATTTTGGTCTCAACAAGTCTAGACAAAATTCCATTATAGCATGAAAGAGCATCACAAAATGAGTAATATTCCAAAGTTTCGTTGCGAAATGTTGTAAAATGCGGATAATATAGCCTTGCAAAATTTGCAATTTTCTGTTATTTTAGATGACAAACGAGAAATGGTTACCACTTTTCCAAAATTTTGATATTAACTAGGCTAAACAAAAATTTCATCACAGCTTGAAGAGCATCACAAAATTTGCAATATATTTGCAATAATATTCCAACGTTTCGTGGCAAAATGTTGTAAAATGCGGATAATATAGCCTTGCGAAATTTGTGATTTTCAGTCATTTTAGATTACGCAAAAAAGTGGTAACCGTTTCCCGTTTGTAATCTAAAATGACTGAAAATTGCAAACTTCGCAAGGCTATATTCGCATTTTACAACATTTTGCAACGAAACTTTGGAATATTACTAATTTCGTGATGCTCTTTCAAGCTGTGATGAAATTTTTGTCTAGAATTGTTGAGTTCAAAATATTGGTTAATTAGGGGAATGATCCATTAAGGTTGTCCCCGAACAAAGCGGAAAAGTCGAATACGAGCTCGAAAGGCTGCTGGGAATCGCTATGAAAATTCATTAATTTTTTAGCAATTCCCAGCAACCTTTCGCGCTCGTATTCGACATTTCCGCTTTTCTCGTGGACAACCTTAATTGAAATAGCTGTATATGCTGCACTGCAATTGCATTTCGCTTTCTGCGAGTTGGAATGAAAACAATTCATGATCAACTACACGAATCTGTTGTTTTTTCTTAGTCTCCCATAGATGCAAGAAAACCTCTGGCTGAGAATATTGTTGTTATTGG